ACTCGCCGCCGCTCCCCGCCGGGCCGGGCAGAGGGGCGCGCGGCCGGCGAGGGCAGGAGCGCGCTGGACGGTGGCGGCTGGAGAGCTGGTGCAGAGGGCTGTCGGAAGGGAAGGTGCAGAAGCACTCTGGCGCCACGCGCGCACACACACGCGCACACACTAGCACTCCGACGCGCACACACGCGCGCCCTCCTCTGCTCCCTCCCTGCAGCTCCGCGCACTTGGAAGCCAGTGCTGAGAACCGCGGAAGCCGGCAGAAAGTGGGAGGGGCCACAGCCTCATCATCTCCAGCGAGGTATTTGCATGTGAAGAGGGGCGCCTCGGAATTTGGTGATTTTACCACCCCCACCCGCTCCTGTCGGCTGTCTAGGACGCAGTGATCAATGGAGCTCTTGAGGCCTGAAGGCAAAGTCAGAAAACTAATCAGAACTTACAGTTTCCTGCCTTGATCGTTTTGCCCTTCAGTCTCCTCCGATTGCCCTACTTCTACTTTTTGACTTGCAGAAAATGTCCTCCCCTGCCGGGCTCTCTATGGCAAAACTTACGTGGTGTGTGATTTAGGCGCAAGGGGTGAGGCCCCTGCGAAGTGGCGGGGAGAGGTTGGGGCGGATCTGGGTGTCTGGAGACCGCGCACTGCTGTCGAGGCTTATGTGCTTGGTTTTTCTTTGTGCCACAGCATGATTTCACCTGGGGATTACGTGTTGTGTCGTTGTAAGGGTTACAAAAAACCAACTGCCTTGCAGAGGATCGCAGACTCAAAGTGACCCTATGGAGCAAACAGATCTACCCCACAAGGTTTACCAAGGTTGTCCTTTCCTCCAAAGCAGACTGCCACATATCTTACCCTCCCTCCCCCCCGCAGTGCTTAACCATGGCACCACCAGGGCGCCTGGTCTTAGGGGTTAGGTAGATGAGTGGATCATTTGCAAGTACGTTGCTTTTCATTTCCCTACACTGGTGGTATCTGTTAGGTGGGCTAGATGGTGTTACTGCTCACTGAGGCACAGTTTTGCTCCCTTGTGTCCATCTGTCTTGCTCTCCCTGTTCTAATCAGCATGTATAACGGAATCCTGCATTATAGTTCTATAAGGAAACAAACACTGCTGAGCTCTCATTAATTTCAGAAACTCACCATACAGTGTGTACTTAATATTACTTCATTTTGAAAGTTATGTTCCCAACCCAAGCCCTTCCTGGTCTCTAGACCTCCTTGGATGGCCATTCGATGGTGCATTCCCATACCACTGTCAGCCTAGTGACAAAGTAAATTACACAGTGCAGAGGTTCAAACCCATCAGCTGCTCAATTGGTGAAAGATGAGGTTATCTGTTTCCATAAAGATTTATAGTCCCAGAAACTCTAAGAAGCAGTTCTACTGTTCTTTAGGGTCACGATGAGTGCGAATCGACTTGATAGCCGTGGTTTTCCTTTGGTTTGGTTAGCCATTAAAGTCAAGATGTTTAGAATAGACCTCATCTCTTCTTAAATCTCCTTGAATTTCCTCAGTATACAGTCTCCTTTGGGGGTGGGGGAGGCCTCCAAATGTTAGACAGGCATCATCTTTTTGAGATGGTTTACTATATTAAAATCCTAAATTATTCTGACTAATATCATACAGTCTACATTTTTTTGTGGTGTACTTACCTACATGTGTCAACATTGTGCTGTCTAATGAACTGCCTTCTGGCATAGGACCTGACTCTTTTCGTTTTCTGGATTAAAAGCCTCAATAGGACAGAGATGGATACTCTCAGTATCAGCTGGACACAGATTATATTTGGTATTAGTAGGTGCTCAGTCTACCACTTGCCTGTCAGCTTGCTGTACTGTGGTGGCTTGTTTGTATCTGTGATGCTACAAGCTATGCCACTGGTATTTCAAGTACCAACCAGGTCATCCATGGTGGACAGGTTTCAGCAGAACAGAACTTTCATATTAAGGCAGATGGGTGATCTTCTTCCAAAAATTAGCCAATGAAAATATTATGTATCACACCAGAACATTGTCCTACTCTTTTACCTTGGATGCTTCACCTGGAGGCATCAACCACTAGAGGAGAACATTGTGTTTGGTGAAGAAGAGAACCAGCAAGGGTATGAGAGACCCAGGATGAAATGGACTGGCACAAGAGTCATAACGACAAATTAGAAAATGCTAGTGATTGTGAGGAAGATTCAAAGTCGGGCCACGTTTCATTTGGTTGCATTCCTAATGCTGCCTGATTCAGAGCTAACTCTATGGCATTAGACAGCAATACCTCGAGGAAACCTTTCCATTTTTTTGTGAAAATAAAATTGTGCATGCGTATTCACAGATGGTGATAAATGTTTTCATAGAGTAGACACAAAGTATCAAGTGTGGGAGAATATGATAGGACCACAGTAGTCCTGGTGTGGCGCTAGATGTGAGATAAGCACTCCACTGCAATGTCCTTTTGAACCACAAGGTTGGCAATGCAAAGCCATCATCTACTTGTCAGAAACCCTATACAGGGTCACTATGAGTTGGAACCTACTCCACAGCACTTAACAACAACAATAGGAATAGGAAGCCAGGGTGTTTGAACTGCCTCATGAGGACAATGGGGTGCCACTTGCAAGAAAGGTGGTGATGGTTATATTTGTATTAGAAAAGGGAAAACAACCCAGACAAACTTACAATGTCAGCTTTGGAATGGAGGTAAGAGTGTTGCAGAATTCAGAGAAGACAACTCTTGGCCTGGACTAGACTTGTGGTGTTGGTACTGTATCATAGTCCCCTAGGAGCAGTCAGAAATTAGAAACAAATTTAATTTCTTGCATCTAATTATAGATAACAGAAAATAAATTATTGCCAACAGCATCTCACTGAATATTCTGACCATTAAAAAATACTTGACTAGAAGAATCCACAATTGGAGTAAATACAACAATTTGCTTGTTTGAATTTCTCCAGGGATCCTCTTTCATTATCCAACAATCAGTCTTTGTGTAAAATTGTAGGACTTTGAGGGTGTATCCCCCAACGCACCCTGAAATTATTCACAGTACAAGGGAGCTGCATTGCAGGATTATTTAGGCAATAAATGGATGGTTAATAGGGTTTAAGGAGTTCTCCCCTTAAGAGTTTTCCTGGTTGAGGAGAAAGGCAATAGACTTTTGAGAAAATCCCAATCTGTAATGCATAACCATTGAGGAAAACAAACAACATAAGAGTTGTCCTTCAGTTGAGTCTGACTTACAGTAGACCCATGGTGTCAGAGTGTAATTGTAAGCCTTAGGGTTTCCATGGCTAACTTTTCACAAGTAGAGTGCCACACATTTCTTCTCAGGGTCCTTTTAGTTGGAAACTGAGGTCATTAACTGTTTGTTCCACTCAGGAATGAGAAATTTAAAAAAACAACAGAAACCCAAAAACAAACACATCTACTGCCATTGAGTTGATTTTGACTCATGGAGACTCCATTTGTTACAGAGTAAAACAACTACACAATTTTTTGTGATCCTTCTGCAGGACCACTGGGCGGGTTTCCAAACATCCTACCTGAGTTCTAACATAGCTTATTCCTTCCCGACCAGTTAAGGGGAAAAAAAAAAAAAAAAGAAAACAAAATGCATATAATGAGGATAGAAATCAAAGGTGAAGATTTCACTTTTCCCCTGTTCTTTGCAAAAGATGGAACCCCATCATCATTCTAATATCCTACAAGTATTCAGGGCTCCCTTCTGGAGTTAGGGAACATCTGAGTCCTTGTGGGTCATTAGTTAACATTTTTAAAGTAGAAATACAATTTTCTGCTACATGTCAAATTGCCCATCATTGTCTTTCTGAGGAAGAAAGCACACAGATAAAGATTTGATGTGGATTTGGTATTAAATGACAAAGCAAGGGAACACTTGCTTATTAAAATAGCATATGATACTACTGATGTTCAGTTGTATATTTCCTGTGGATTCTGGATAGTTGGAACACAAATTACTTTGTAAAAAGACACTCGAATCAAAATTGTCAGAAATCATACAGCTAGGTCTCCATTGTCTCTTGAATTATAGTGTTTCCATAAAAACCTGAAATCTTCAGAGAGCAATGCAACGATGCAAATTTCTGCTAAGCATCCCTCTATCACTCTGTGATAAGCCAGATAATCTTTTCCAAAAAGTGGATTTATGCAATAACGCAACTCAATTCAATAAATATTTATTACATGTGTGTTGTGCACCAGGTTTAATGATCCCTGGTGGTACAGTGGCTAAAACACATAGGTGCTAACCATAAGATTAGTTGTTCGAAACCACTGCCACTCCATGAGTGAAAGATGTAGCAGTCTGTTTTTTTTAGAGATTTACAGCCTTGGAAACCCTTTTGGGCAATTCCACTTTGTCCTATTGGGTCTTAAAAGTCATACCCAACTTAATCACAGTAATTTTGAAATGGAGCTGTAGGATAAGCACTAGACTGCAAGGTCATTTGAGCCATAATGCCAGTGGTTTGAACTCAAGTGCTGCTCTTTGGAAACCTATACAGCGTAGCTATGAGTTGGAACCAACTCTACAGCACTTAATACCAAGAACAACTCCAGGTTTAAAGGCGCCCTGGAGGCACAATGTTTAAGAGCTCGGTGCTAGCCAACAACTCTGCATCCATAATGTCATAGACTTCGTGCTTCTATAACATGGCAGTCTTGGGGAACTCCATGGAGCAGCTCTACTCGGTCCTACAGGGGCATTGTGTGTTGGAATTGACTTGATGGTCATGGGATATCAGGTAAAATCCTGGGCATCAAATGTGTTACTGACAAAAGCAAGAACACGGAACC